CAACACAGAGGGTAACNCGGAAGATCAAACACGACACAATATAGAAAAATGGTACCAAAAAATAGCGGAAGTAGTGGATGATACGGATACGTGCCGCCGTTTCTTCGTTTTTGGAATATTCTGGACATATATATGGAACAACAACGTGACAAACAGAAGGACAAATGAGAAGTGGAGGAGATGAAGGAAGGAATGAGAAATATGAGGACGTATATAGTTAGTTATATAGAACCTAGAATTTTTACTACAACCACCAAACACTTGACACGCTATCAAGTTACCCGTTTTTTGTCTTTTTTGTCAAATTTCAAATCCGAGGAAACGGCTGGCGCGCACGCACACACATTACTACTGAACACTGTACTACTACAACCACGACTACTACAAGTTCTCATCGTCATCGTTAGACGACGTCATGCTTAGTGGTGGAGATGACAGCAAAGGGCCAATGGTTATTTTGAAATCTGTACCGTTTGAAGTAGTGGAGCCTGGAGCAGTAGAAGCGGATGATCCTGCAGCAAGTGCTTTCGCTTTTTGAGCAATCTGAAAAAACAGAAAGAGGTGGACGAAGAAGGAAAAAATATGAGAAAAATTTGGGGATAGGGGGATGGGGAGGACTTTGAAAGGAAGAAATCACACTCAGGCAAAAAGTATATTAGAAGAAAAATAATAGGTAAGGCAGATCAATGGGGAAAAAAGATCACACGGCAAGAATAGATGCTTCATCTGATGACGATGGTGACGTGGCAGCTGGCACACCGCTTCTGGATCTTACCCGTTGAGCGTTGGCGGCTTGTTGAGCGGCGTAGACGATTTCGGCTTTCGCAGCGGTTGGTCCGGGAATTGACCCACTTTTGGTGCCAAGGAGCTCCATGGAGAGATCCTGAAAAACCCGGGCACTTCGGTTTTCACTCGGTTAGTAGTATTTTGGGGAAAATTTTTTAGTTTTTTCGGAAAAAAGTGTTGGTGGGGGTGAACAGGGTTACTGTAAGAGCCAAGATGTTTATAACAACCACAATGCATGCACATGCCACGTTAGATACCACATAGTTAGATTAGCCAGTTGGGGATAAAAAATAGAAGGATAGTAGAATGGGGACCATCACCAAACAACACCAACCTGGTAGCCGGCCATGTCAGCCGAGCCACCCGACCACTGATGCGGGCTAGAACGATGGTGTCCTCCTCCGTGGCGGTGGGCAACGAAAAGCTCGTGGTTTAGTTCCTGAACACTTGATTTTTGTGGTGAGGTCCTTCTTGGCGCTACACAGTTACAATATCTAATTAGTGGAATTTTTAATAAAGCTATTATGAATATTGAAAGAAAATTATAAATCTGAAACATCTGCTATCTCCTGAAATGTGCTACGATCTAGTTACGACACAAATATATAAAGTTTGACAACATTGACAAAATGAAAATCGGTGAATGTTTGGTGTGAGTGAAAAATGCTATTAAAACCGGGCGTACCTGACACTTCTGGAACAGTTCCAGCGATCGATCCTCCATCATATCCGGGTCAATCCGCCCGTGAGCCTTCGACTGATGATTCTCCATCTGATCCTTACGATAGTGCTCCACAGCGCATCCGTCGTGTTTGCACCGGAACCGGAAGATCATTTCGTCTTTCGCCAAATGGAAGAACATGTGCATTTGACGAGCACCGGCGGTCACTGGCTTCTGGCACTTGGAGCACTCTCCCAGAACTCGCTTCTTGGAAATGCTCGACGTCTTCTTTGTGGTTTCAGTCTCCATCGTTCTATCAGGAGTGGATCCGAAGAGAGCGGCAACGTTGTCAAGAACCGAAATGGGGTTCAGGGAATCGAGAACGTCCTCCATGGAATCAGCTGCACCTTCTGTTTCTTCGTACTTCATTTTCTTGGTGCCTCCTCCGAAGAGTGTTGCCAATGTGGAGGTGCTGTCAATGTTGAGGTCATCGAGGGAGAACGAAGCTGAAACTAGGAAAAATGATTTTCGATAACTTGAAAAATTGAGGTACCTACAACGATAATAGAGTTTTTATCTCAATTTTCGTGATACTAGTACGACTTTTCTGGAGAAAAATCACAGAAAAACCGACAAAACGCAGTAACAATAACAATATTTTTAGGTCAATGTAGTCGTGGGACCTTCCAATTTTTCTACCAAAATAATGACTTACGCTTATCGTTCTCCTCGTTTTCTGGAGTCTGTGCATGGCTCAGCGAGTTCAACGTCGCCAGGAAAGCATCGGCATTCGATGGCTCCGACAGCTCCATTGTTGTAATCGCCTCTGTCGCTGACGTCGGCACATACGGCCGCTTTCTTCCACTAGTCGTTCTAGAAGACGATGAAGGCGTCTGTGGCTTCGGCTCCTCCGCGGCTCCGTTGTTCATCCCTTGGAATTCTAACAATTTGAAGAAATCTGCAGCAACTTGAGCGTTCTGTTTCTCCTTCTCCTTGTGATGATTTACAATGGCGGTGGCGGCAGCTTGTGCAGTAGCAGTAGCCGAAGATGAAGCGACACTGCCGTTCGATGTAGACGTGTTTCTTCCAGAAGAGTGTGCAGAACGGAAATTCGGTGGAGAGTATGGTGACGTGGCAGTTGAAGAAGATGGGAGCGAGCTGTTCGCATTCACTCGTTTGGTGACGTTCAACGAGAACGCTTTATCCATTAGAACTTGCAATTTTCGTTTCGCTGTCACATTATCCACGTAGATGAATTTGCTCATGTTCTTCTGATGCGAAGAGTGAAGATGTTCGCGCATTTGAGAGTCTGAAGCGCGTTCTGCAAGACACATGGGGCATTGGAAGGGAAGCCAATTGAGATGTTCGGTTTTGATGTGGATTTCCATTTCTTCAGAGTTAGCTTTCGTCACTCCACACTCAACACAACTCAGTTGCATAGATGGTGTGTGGTTGGAGATTGTGGTTGGATCGGTAGAATGTGAGGAGCCGTTAGATTTGTTGGCGGCGGATGGGTTTCCGTTTTGTTTCAGCCTCGCGGCAATATCCTCGATGCCACTTTTCACTGCGTTGGCACTCATTGTGGCTGAAATCATTCATAATTCCATAAAATTCGTTAAATTTCAGCCAGTTCTCACCTAAAATTCTCTCGAGACGCGCTCGACTACTCTCCGCTTCCGAACGGTCGGGCGAATTCGACAGACTTGCGTTCAGTATAATCTCGTTGTCCTCTCCGCCGATGCTCATCAGGTGATCTGGAAGATGGATAGTTGTTGAGAGCTCCCCTAGATTTCTTTCTTTTGCTGTGCTATTGCTGCCCCTTCAGTTTGCACAGTGACAGTGTGCTGCTGCAATGTTGATTCGGTTGCGCGGCGTCGACTTTTTTTGCTGTCGTGGAAGGGCGACGAAGAATATCTACCCGTAGGAGCAGCAAGACAGATAGGTATTTGCGGCGCCTGTCTTCTTCAACGTCTTGAAGCTCTCGGCGCTCTTACCTGGTGTTGACGATCACACGACGAGTCTCGTGGAGTTTGGAAGCAACGATGAAGTGTCTGGAAACAAAAAATAGATGAACATGACGTTAGGTGCAGATGAACGAATGCTCCGGAGGAGAAGACGAAAAGTAAAGAGGAAGAAGAAGAAGAAGGAAAAAATTGATAACGAGGTGATGATGATGATGATGGGGGGAGAAGAAGAGAGAAAGTGGCCGTCGCCCTCGGAGGAGGTTGACGAGGTTTTATGAGCCGCACAGAGAATTGCGAAACGGAAAAAAAACGATACACATATACACACACACACTTCAGATGAATTTTGAAAATTTTTGCAGTGTTGGATTTTCTGGATTCTGAATTTCCACGAGAAATCACCTGGAAAAAAATGTTGGAAAATCGACAGAAAAAAAGCGAGTGATTACTGTATTAAAGGCGCATAGCTCGAAAGGGTAAAATGGTTTCGACCGGATGAAGAAGTTACGATAAAAAAACGGGTGAAATTTGTATTTTGAGGCGACGAAAAGTTGAAGAAATAGATAAATTGAAAATTTCAATTTAAAATACTGAAATTTAAACAATTCGTAGCGAATTTCAGCTGAACTGTAACAAAAAAAAACGCTCAACAACCGACAGAAAAGCATAGTGACTACTGTATTAAAGACGCATGTATACAATTACTAAATTGAGCTCCACCACGAAAAAGCTTGCTGAAGTTGGAAAAAATTAAATAAAAAATCAGATTGTTAAGATGAAAAACTCGAGCTTTTCGAACTGTTCAGAAGTCAATCATAGAGAGGAAAATAACAAAAAAAATAGATAGCAATACAACATAGAAACATGTGTGTGTGTGTGTGTGTGTATTTAGCCATTGGTGTCTGAAATTCAGACTCTGAATGTTCCTGCTATTCTTCTTCTTCTTAAAATTCTAAATGCCTACAGAAACAGAAAATCCGCCTACAGAAACAGAAATTCTTATCAGTAGTGGAAAGAGCAAAAGTGAGAGAGGGTGATCATGAAGAAGAAGAAGTATTGACGTGATGAAGATGAAGATCACAACTTGCAGAAGAAGAAGAGTAAGAAGAAGATGGAAAAGAAGAAGAATGGAAACCGGAGGAGACATCTGACGCATCTGACGGCTGCGTCTGTTGGCAGCAGCCGTCTCCTGAAGAGAAGAAGAAGAGCGGCGGGTACCGAGCCCTCCGATAGACACAAATACTGATACACCACACAAAAAGAGACCACAGGGGCACAAAGAGAAGACGAACTGCACACAGTGCCCTCTTCTTCTTCCAAGGAGACCACGACGACGACGACGGTTTGATGACGATGGCGATGGAAGCGCAATCGGGCGAGAGAGACGTAGACGCAGAGCGGTCCGAGAAGTGATGGACACAACGGAGCGCGCTCTCGGTGAGGGTCGATGCTACAAGCTGGGACGTCGGCGATCCGATGGAGAAGAAGAAGAAGAGGAAAGGAAGCAAAAACACCCAGGAGGGAAAAGAAGAAGAAGAAGACAGTGGAGGCGGTCCTCCTGGAGAGGCACGAGGGAGTGGAGAGAGAGTGATCGCGGTCGCCGTTGGCTTTTGTGTTTCTTTCGGGAAGAGAGAGAGAGAGAGAGGAAGTGAGTATATGTGAAAGCAACATTGCCTGATGGTCGACGTCGACACTGACGACGAAGGGTGACTGTCGAAATGTCGCCTCGCTCGGAGTTGAGTACCCGACGAGACTAGCAGCGGTAGATAGAGACGTCTACGGTCAATGAAAAAGAGAATGGGTTGAGCAAATTAGTCGGGTCGGTATAGCGTTGGTATGTTTACACGACGGCGAGGGATAGAAGAGGATGGAGGTACGAAGGGCAAATACCGTAATAGTTTTGGGAGAAGTCAATTCGAGTTATAGAGACACGAAATTCTAAGTAGTATGAAGACGTACAGAATTCTGATTCTGAGGGGTCTCCAGAATCTAGATAAGGTTATCTAGATGACTGCTCCTAGGACATCAAGATCTGTGTGTTCGTTACTAGGGGGGAAACAAAGAATATATCAAGGTCTCGTTGCGCGGTGCAACCGAAAATTCGAGAGTGGGCGGAGCTTAGGTCCAAAATGCTTAAAGGCGCATTCAAAGGAGCTATTTCATCGATTTTGAGCTTATTATTCTTTATAAAATTTCGAAGAGTCGCGAAAAATTGCACAAAAACAGTGAAAATGATTGAAAAATCGAAAAAAAAGGCCAGAAATTAATAGAAATCGGAAAATTTGTTCATTGTTTACAAGCAGTTTTTTTGCGGGTTTTCGAATTTTTTGTAGGTAAAACAGTTCAAAATCAATGAAATTCATCGAAAAATAGGCAGGAAAATCATTACAAAATACATGCACCTTTAAATGCGCCTTTAAGGATTTGGGTCTTAAGCTCCGCCCACCGAGTTTTCGCCCGCAATGCGCATTAAAGCTAATAGAACTTTCTAGAAAAATTTGATCTACATGGAACTGAAATATTGGACGGTGAAAAGTACCAGAAGATCGATCTCCTAGAAGAGTGGTCTGAAGACTGACAGTAGTGCGCACTACCACTGGTGCCTAATCTGACACCCCTCACACAGCCAGCTACGCAACACCTCCATATGCACACAAAAACTGGGCCACCACCACACATTCACAAAGACATTTCAATAGTGAGGTTGCTGGGGTGGTGACCAGATGAATGAATATGAATGTTGACGATGGTTGTGGCATGGCACATACACACACACATTCCGATACATCCATATATTCAAATCGGAGGGGGAGATGGCGCCAGTGTGCAGCACGACAGATAGAGAGCGCGTTGCGTTTTCGCAATCGATTGATTGATACATACAGACTTCTGATGCCTCCGTCCTCCTCGGGAAGGGGAATACAAGACCAAGACGCGTACTGATATGATAACAGCATGATTCGTCATTTCGAAGATGGAGAAGAATCATCGTTCGAGATACAGTAAATACGGATGAAGATGAGAAGGCATTTTAGAAGAAGCATCTACAGAGCATCTACGTCTCAAGTGTCTTTGTGAAGAGTGGAATAGAATACACAGAGAGAAAGAGTTTTGGGGCTGAGCCACAACCCCGCGCGGGCGGACAAGCTCTCCCACAAGAGCCGGTGTGTGTTCCCGCCGAGAAGAAGAAAGTCAACTTCTTCTTCTTATTCTTCCACCATCTTCCCCGTCTTCTTCTTCTTCTTCATTCTTCTTGCAGCTCGTCGCGTCTCGCAGGAGAGCAAAATAAACATTCCATCACTGTGTAGACCGATTGGCTCTTCCACCCATCGCCGTTTTCCTCATCATCATCTTCTGCCTCTTCTTCTTATTCTTCATTGTTCGGTCTTCTCGAAGATTCTCGGGAACGATACGGTACAGAAGTCGTCGATGACGAGAAAGGGCGAAAAAGAAGAAGAAGACAGTAAAGGTTGCCTTTTTTCTTCTGGATACTTTTTTTGGGAGGAAAAGAAAACTAGGAGGAAGAAGGAAAAGACGTTTTGTTTCAAAAAAAAGAAGAGATGAATGTATTACGAAAAAAAGGGGACAAAGAGGATGATGGTTTTTTTGGATCTCAAATACAGTATTCCTAGAAGTTCCGGGTTGTTAAAAGTGCCAAAATGGGAAAGAATACGTTCGAAAATTGCTAGGTTACTGTATGCCGCATTTCCTTCAACTTGGATCCCGTATATCTCGGTAACTGGGGGAGATATCAAAATTTTGTCAACTGATAAAATATTGGTGATATAATGATAACGAATTTATCAGTTGATAATTTTTTGATATCTGTCACAGAAATCGAGATAATTGACCTTTGAAAGTATGTATATGGTGGCGGATTCGAACATTTGGTATGATGTGGCGCCCACCCTATGCGTGCATTTGAGCTCAATTATCTCGGACGCTATGAAAGATATCAAAAATCTGTTAACTGATAAAATATTACTGATGTTATAACAAACATTTTATCAGTTGACAAACGTTTGATGTCTCTCACAGGAATCGAAATAATTGAGGTCGAAGTTTAAGGTTTGGATTGGCACACAGGATGGAATACGGTATATCAGCCTTTCAGTAGACGTCGACTTCAAAAGACTTCTAAAAAAAAGCAGCAAATTCAGAATAGAAGAGAAAAGAAGTGAGAAGACGTCAATCTCCTCGCTAATCGCCTTCTATTCAAGGGATTCTCACTTCTCGCCTCTTCGTACATAGAATCATCTGAATGAGAGCTCTTCACGAAAACATATTGATATCCGGGCGGTGTTATGATGATAACAACGATTCAGAAGACGTTGTCATAAGAAGGAGGAGCACGTCTTCTTTTTTCCATCTTCTTCTGAAGAGGCGTGGTGGGGGATTAGATGGGAAACCAGAAACTGAAGACGTGGAAAGAAGAAGAAGAAGGCAAACGCATCCCCCCGGAGACTCCAGAAGACAAGAAGATGCTCAACGCAGATTCTGGAGCACACCCCGAAAGAGATGAGGCCTCTGGGTGCCCCGGCCGTTTTTGTTGACAACATTCTGGTGTCTCCCAGACAAAGAGACATTAAACTTGACGGAGACAGGGGCGCACCACAAAAAAAAAAGAAGAAGACGAGTCTCCAAAAAGGGTTCATCGTCGTCGATGTCAAATGATTCGGAAGATTTAGAAGACGTGGAATGAGGATGAGGAGTGTTCTGAAGGCTCGTCTATGGGCTTGTGTGTGCGTCGGGGCGGCTGTAGGTCTCTGTGCTGACAGTGACACATAAAGGTGAATAAACAGATGGAGTGGCGGTGGAAGAGAGGCGAAGAAGTGTAGAAGAGAAGAAGAAATCGTTCTGTGTATGTGATTCCGAGTGGAGGAGCTCCGTCAGCACACTGATCGGGTGGGGGGTCTCGCGTAGAAGAGAAGAGGAGAGAGGACTCCACTCCGATTCGACGACAGCACAACGCACGACAAACAACACGGTTGTGTGGAAGGTGCACACGAGCTCACGGAGGCTCGGCCCCGGAGCTGTTCTCACTTTACTCATTGTGGGTCTTTGTGTCCTCTGAGTGAGCTTTTGAGAAGTGGATGGAATTTGGGGTCGGACTGTACAGTAGGAAACTGAAGTCGTTTGGTGGCAAACTCTTGGCTTGTCGCAGAAGGTGGTGGGCTTACCTAGGACATCAGGTTGAATCTACTTAAAGATGCTATTGAAGGAGTCTGGGATTACTGTATATCCAGGATTAGCAATAAAATTAGTCATTCGGACAGAAAGATCTGAGGAAAGTTCTAGAAATAGATTTCAGGAAATTTCAATAATTCCTCATGAAGTATTGGTATTGGGAACTTCAATTTTTAGAATTTGAAAATTTCAAGAATTCATAAAATTACTTATATGGATATTCTGAATTTTGATAACCCAAAATTTAAGAGTACCGTATACCTAGGACACCCGGACTAGCAAACACACAGACAGATATCGCAACATTTTTGGCCTAGATCCGATGGCAACGGAATCTAGAAAATTCTAAAATCCGAAAAATTCAACGACCTACAGTAATCCACAGAACATAAGAATTTTCTCGAGCACTACACTAGCCAACCACCACAATCTCACACCCCATTAGGAATATAAGAATCCTTGCGTTCCTCTTGTTCTTTTCCTTCTTCAAGAATCTAGATAGCCTGTGAAAAGAGACTGAAGGAGGTCACATCATCATCCTTGCAGTGTCGACGTCTTCTTCTACTACATCCCACCAAGAAGACCATCTTGACACATGTCTTCTTGTTTCTCTCCTTTTCCATCATCCTTCTTCATCTAGACGATGGACGACGACGTCGTCTATGGAAGGCGAGGAAAAGGAGACAAGAAGAAGAAAAAGAAGAAGAAGGAGACCATATTTTCGGACAGTATACAGAAGAACACACTCTTGGAGACACTACATATGGAAAAGAAAAAGAGTATGTAGGAATGAGATACGTTTTGACAACTGGAGAAGGCAAAAGACAATACATATGTTTGTCAGGGAGGAGGAGAAAAGAGTCTCCAGAATATCTTGACTCCAGAAGACGTGACGGGGAAGAATACCAAAAAGACGACCAAAAAAAGAAGAAAAGGAAGAAGTAAAAGAAGGAGAAGAAGCTCACAAAGTATTATGAGAAGATTATAGGGGGAGTCGCTGGAGAGCCCGAGCCGTTTATCTCCTTTCTTCTCGTCTTTCTTTTTTTTTCAGAGGGAGGGAGATTCAGAAGATCAATTCAGAAGACGTCGTCTTCTTCAAATTCTTCATCTTCGAAATGGCGAAATTCGATCTTGACCCGAAATCTCCTCTCCAGCGGAAAGAAGCCATCTGGCGCCCCTGACAGTGGCCTTCTCTCTTCTCCTTCTCAGAATCTCCTTTCCTTATTCTTCTCCGAATGCCTTCATCTTGTCCGATCGCCGCAAGACGTGGCACCGGCGCACAGATGATGGCTCCGTGTTGGTCAATTGGAATAGAGAAAGGAGAAGAAACGGAAAACGGGTATTTGATAAGAGCACGTCATTCGGCGTTTCTCTTCTTTGCAAAACCTTCACCTTTGTGTGTGCACCTACTTCCGTCATTTTAGATTGTCTTTATTTTTGGAGATTTTCCTCATTTGAGATATTGGATTCTAGAGGCTCTTTTTTTTTGGTTCTGATTGCATTTGTAGTCCGATTTTCAATTTATAGGAACATTTTTTGACAGAATGATACAAAATGCAAAATTGTAGTGCACTGGGTGGTTTTGGGATACTGTAGTTTTAGAAAATTAACTAGAAAATATTAAGTGGAAAGGCTTGAAGATTACAAAAGCTCTAGATGATTTATCACCCTACATCTACAGTAACGGTCAACTTTTCGGCCACATTGGCCATTTTCGGAAGTCTGGAGCTCGGTTGTCAGGTTTCCAATCACTTTGAAAATTTTGGAGGGTCTAAAACAGATTTAGATTAGAATCTTTGCGTTCTTAAAATTTTTTGGAAATTCTTTTTTTCCGATTTCTGAATGACACACCTTTTGACCCGTTTTTGTACTGAAAATGTGGTCTTTGAGAAATCGGCGAATAGCTGAAAAACTGGGAACTTTTGAAAGATTCGTTTATTGCAAACTTTTCAGTCGAGATCTATTTTACACCCTCCAAAATTTCCAAAGAAATCCGAAACTTGACAATCGAGTTCTAGGCTTTTGAAAACGGTCAAAATGGAGAATCAACTCGATAACTCGATTTCAAAATGAGTGGAATACTTCCAGAGTAAACACACACACACAGAGGTAAATGATAGAAATTAGTGAAAAAGATAGACGAACGTTTGGATAGAAGTGAAGGGGCTCCTCGCCCAACACACAGGTAGGAGAAAAGAGCAATTGTTTGCTCACAACTTCTACCAGAAAAAAAGAAGAATAGAGAAACGAGGAGAGCCATTCTTATCACCCCACACAAACACTGACGCTTCAGGTAAAACTTGACTAGCACGATGACGTGGCATGGTGTCTTCTGATTCAGGAAAAAGAGAAAAGTGAAGACTGATAGCTCTATTTTTGTTATCATTTTCACGAAGAACACTCGCTGTGCCTGTGTGTCCCGTGGAAGAAAGAAGAGCGCCTCTTTTTTTTTAAATTTTGGGCATGATGAGATGAGAAGAAGAAGAAGAAGCGGTCTTCCTTTTTTTCTTCTTCTATCAGAAGTGTTATCAGACGGACGGGAATTTTTTTTTGAAAGAAAGGGGAAAAAAGAGACACGGCAGCAGCTTGGCAGTGCTGGGCGATGATGTCTAAAAATAAGGAGACCAAGGGGATTCTGGAGAAGAGGAAAAGTTCTAGAAGGCGGAAAAATCATATTAGAGATGGAGGGGGTAGGATTGGAGATGGTAAATGTCAAAATATGTGAAATTGAGAAACTTGATAAACCAATAATTAGAAAATAGCAGATTTCCAATTTCATGGATTTTGGTGGAAGTGGGATTTAAAGGCTCCACTTCCAGTTCCTTCAATATCAGCCCGTTTCTTGTTTCCTGTCAGAGATATCAAAAAAATGTCATTTGATAAAATATTGGTTACAACATGATAAATAATTTTTTAGTTGACAAATTGTTGATATCTCTCACAGGAATCGAGATAACTGAACTCAACGTTTAGGTGGGCTTCTATTGGAGGAAGTATGGTAATCTGGATTCTGAGAATTCCAAAATCGGTAATAATAGGTTTTTGAAATCCGGAATCAATGATCCAGGTCCTCAGATCCTCAGATTTCTGAATATCAGGATCATAGATTCTAGAGCTCCCAGATCCTTGTGCTTGCTCCTAGAGTTTCTAGATTCTAGGTCCTAGGTACTAGGTCTTAGGATCTAGGTCCTAGATCCTGGGATCTTAGATCCTGGAATCTTAGATACTGGGATCTTAGATCCTGAGTTTCTAGAGCTTAGATCATGCGATCTCAGATTCTGGAATCCTAGATTCTAGATCCTGGGATCCCAAATCTAAAATACAATAGACTCAAAGGACCTCGTGTGATCTTGAATTCAAAGATCCTAATGTATTGAATTCTGTTGCCCAACTAATATTACCTGGACACCTGTTGTTTTTCCTGAAGTCAAGATTCAAATGACCTTCAAACAAACTTTTAGAAATACTCAAGACTAGGGCTTCTCATGATATCATTTTTTTTTTGCTTTACCAGAGCTTTACCAGACCTACCGTAACCTCTTTTCTACCACTATGATATCATTCGGTGGATCCTACTTACATTACAGACCTACCGTACCTTCCAACTTTCCTCTCCAGAGTCGTCTAGTCGAAAAATATAGAAGTGGTCGTAAAAAAAGAAAATAAGTTACGTCTTCTTCTTCCAACTCCCAAAAGTATAGGATTCATTGAAAGACTCTTGCCTCTCGAAGAAGCTCTCAGGTGACCAAAAAGAAGATTTTCGAGAAGAAGTGCTCCGCCCTTCGTTTTTTCTTCTTTCTAGCTGAAGGAGAAAAAAGAAGCTCTCTGGTTGCTATGTGGCAGAAGTAAAGATGAAGAAGAAGAAGCTCGAGTGGAGAAGCGCGTCTTCTCTTCTTCTTCTTCTTCTTCTCATAAACACATCGCCTCCAGAAAGCGTCCGTTCTAAGAGACAAGAAGAAGAAGAAGAAGAAGCGTCAGTCGGTTTACAACATAAGTTTTGAAGAAAGATGAAGAAATGGAGACGCAGGAGATGGAGACGCCACGGGCTCCTGAGCTCCAGGGGGATGCTCCTTGACTCTCAATACATCCAACAGGTCTCAAACGAATTTTAAAGGATGATGAAGATGAAGAAGATGAGATTTTGTTGTCGGGAGACTTCAGGAGGGCTCCTATGGATTCGAGGGATAAGTGAAAAGGGGCGGAGCGTAGGATCAAGTAACTGTCTCAAAATTTTTCCACCTAGGGAGAAACTGAACTCTCAGAATGTCATAGTAAATTTTTATAAAAATTGAAATACTTGTGAGAAATATTTTCATGAATTTCAAAAAAACTGGAATTTGAAGCCTCAAAATGCTTTGGCTGAAAATTTTCTAATTGTCAGAGGTGTTTAAATTATGGACAAGAATTTATGCACTGCGTGCAATACTCAATATCTTACGACAACTTTCGAACAGTTTGAATTTCTCGATAGAAAAGCGCGGGAAGTTCGATTTTTGAAAATATGAAGCTGGAGAAATTTAGATTGAGACAAAAAATGCGATTTTTGGAAGTTGAAAATTCAGAGATATGTCGTAAGATGTACGCATTACGTACAATACACAATAACTTACGACAATCATGGAATTTCGAATTATCATGTGAAAAAGCGTTGGAATTTCGAGTTTTTTAGGTTTCAACACTAAACTTTAGAAAGACAAAGTACCGTGAAACCTGTAATAGAAAAGGCCCCACACTCATCCAAGTTCGAGCTGATTTTTCTCGATTCCTGTCAGTGATATAAAAAAGTTGTCAACTGATGAATTGATAATCATAATATCAGTTGCCTTTTTTCAGTAGACACAATTTTGATATCTTGCATAGAAGTCATGAACAATTTTCTGAAACTTGACAGGGGGGGGGGGCTTCTATTTCAGGTTTCACGGTATTCGCCAGAGAAAAAGTTTTAGACCTGATAACTAGCTCATTTTTTCAGACAAGCTTAAAATTTCTCAATCCTAATCAGACTGATTTTTGCAATATTTCAATCCAGACAAGATTCAGAAAAGAAGGAAAAGCTTCTAAAAGCAGAAGGCAAAAAATAGTGAAAAACTGAAAGCCGAGAGCTTTCGCGATTCACTGCGTTTTTTCGTCTTCCATCCTGTCATCATTTCAGTTTGGAAAGATGGCTTTTTTCTACTCTTCCTAAAACGATGACTTCATTCCTCCTTCTACCACTGCCCCTCTTTGCCGTTTTTCTTCCATTTTCTTCTCCGACCCACTAAATGACGACGAGTGTGTAGTTGAGAAGGCGAAAAAGAGCTCCAGAATTCGAAAAGCCCTCTCCTTCGTCTTCTTACATACATACACCCATCCTTCTCCTTTTCTAATTTATTCACTCTCGGCCACAGGGGCGGCTCCAAACGACGACGACGACGACGATGAAGAAAATGTAGAAGAAGACATCGGAAGATATTTTTGAAGGAGATGAAAGGATGCGATGGGTATGTAATGGGTCATCTCCACCCACTAAAACGACAACTTCATCTTCCCCGTTTTTTCTGGAATGGTGGGGAGCTTCTTCTCTTGCTCCATTTTTCAGAATCGTCGTCCATCGTCCTCACGATCCCATTCTCTATTCATCCTGATTACTCATTCATCCGTGTTTGTGTCTCTTCTTCCCCTTTCTCTTCTTCGTGGGGGCTCCCTTTTCAGACTCTTCAGAATCCAGTCGTCATGGAGACATTCAAAAAGAAGACGTCGAGGAAGAAGAGAAAGAGATGATGAATGTCAGAGGATGGCACACACAACGAAAGTAAGGATTTATTAAAGAGGTGGTCGTGAAAAGGAGGAGCACACATGTACAAACAAAACAGGAGGATTTTTGGGGAGTCTGAGAATAACAACAGGGGTTTAGACTGATGAAGAAGCAGAAGACGTGGTATTCAGAGAATCTCGCATCGCCATCATCGACACGTCATCATAAGTGCAACATATTTTGGCTTTTCCGTTTTTGGTGCGATGACAAATTTCGTTGATTCCGCGGCAATTGTCATCGGTGCATTGCTCACCAGTCTCGACGTAGTCTTTTGGACATCCTGAAAAGTTTAGATTTTTGAAGACTGTACTCTGAATTTCAGAAACTCGTCAGAGGTTAGCCACGTAGAAAACGATGAGAAACCGGAGCTATAATAGTACTCATGGATAAACCTTTCTTGAACCCCGCGCAGTTGAAAACCGGGCTCTGGCGGCTTTTCGGCAGCTCTGCCATATTTTCTTCCAGAATCAATATTTTAGAACCATCTAAATTAGATATGATAGACCTTGAAGAGTTCTGCAAAATGATACTATTTGAAATACTGTATCTCGTCTGTGAACAAAGTTATAAAGTCATAAAACAGTTATTGAGTAGCTCAGACGGTTTTTGGCTCGTAACTTTGTTAATAAACAAGATACAGTAGTCCAAATAATATCATGTTGTAGATCTTGTTGAGTACTATCATATCTAATTTGATTGGCTTACAAATATTGATTACTAAAGAAACTATGGCAGGTATAGAATGAAAGTATAGACCACCGGACTCCTCGAGTTGGATTGTAGATCTGCTAAACCTTCCATCTGCCCACTCACTGTTCGTTCCTTTGCAGCACACATGAGTGTTCGGATCACACATGTGTCCCATACTACAATCACTGGATCTTTCACATCTGATCAATTGGCCAGACTTATCAATCGACGGCTCTCCTCTCAACCCAATAGAGCACATGATACGTTTACACTGCCCATCAGCATAACTAAATCCGGCGGGACACGAACAAATACTCCGGACACATTCCATTTTCGCAACTTCAGCGTACTCCTCAGCCGCATCCGGACTCTTCGAGTAGACGCACTGCGATGAGATGTGACAGCTGTCTCCGTAGTAAGCCATTGAAAAACACTGGCCTTCGTGGTAGATGTCTTCCAGAGAGACGCAGGGCTTCGGACAGCAAATCTGTAATTATTGCATGAGTGGAGTTTGAGAACTATATATAAATAGATCCTATAATAAAGGATATAATCACTAACCGTCTTCTCTGTGGCGACTGCATCACGATGGCAATAATAATCCACTGGACACCTGCTACATCCGTAATCTGGGGGATATGAGGAATCATGGGGTTCTCCGACGGGACATGTTGGCCGGATTTCAGATGGTGATGGACAGCAGAATCCCTTGTAATAGCCAGGTTTAGCGGCGTCATCAAAGACTGGGACACAGTAATGCTCTTCTGGGCAATCGTCACGCCCATTTTCAAAATCATTATGGGTTCCGTTTTGAATTCCTCTCATAAGTTGTTCGAATTCCTCATCGTTGATGTCGGTTTCATTTCCTGATGATTTTTTGAGGCTTCTAAAACTCGAGGAGACCGAGAGAAGAGAGTTTTTCAATGAGCAAGTCACTAGCTTCTCGTCGCGTTTCAATGGAGCAGCTTTGTTGACGCAACGGTACTCTAAAAGTTAAAATAGTTACCAAGGAAATGTGCAACATTCAAAACCTACCAATAGGCTCACAACCTCCATCACCGTTTCTCTTGAACCCTCTCTTGCATCTACATCCTCCTGATGAACACTCGGAGAACGCTGCCGAGCATTCCATATCTGTCTTACACTTCTCTTTCAAACGTCTTCTAACTCTTTGACACGTTTTTCCATCCGATGCCAAGGTGTACCCGAAATCAGTGGCGCACTCACACATACAATTTCCACGGGCACCACAAATACAAGCAGCTCCGCCAGAGCATCCAGTTGATGGAGCACATTGCTGTCCTCTCCACGGTCTCTCATTCTCTACTGGTCTTGGTGGAGGCGTTGCCAGCTCTTCGACTGCTCCGGGAACACAACAGAAACCAGTGGTGGTCTCGCAGAAGCCATTTTCAGGGCAAGGCATAACGCGTCCCTGTTTGAATTGACACATGATTGGCTTGCCGGTGATGAAGTTGACCATTGTTTTCTTGGTTTTTGGGCATGTTGGGAGCTCTGGAAAAGAATCAGGATTACTGTAGTTTGGAGAAATTAGGCTTACTTGTACAGCATACTCCATGGACTGGATTACAGACATGGGTCGATGGACAATCTTCAGTCAAATCACAAATGGTTAGAGTACCAGTGGGTGACAGAACTAGAGCTCCACCCCCAGGGCAGAAATCTTCAGAAGTTCCACCGATGGCAGATTTCGGGGCTAAAGCTAAGAAGCATCCGGACTTCTGCCGTCCATTCACGTTACCAGGACGACATTCTTCACCCTAAAACAAGGAAGACATTAATTTGGATTACAGTATACCACCAGTAAGACTAACCTCATCACATTGTAGGTCATTCGAACATGAATCTTTTCTACACGCTCCTTCTTGGCAGAAAAATCCACGTCCACACTGAATTGAATGTGTGCATCCTCTTCCAGAAGCTCTGGCATCACTCAAACTAATTCCAGAAGACACAATTAGAAACACTAAAGTAGTAGTGCTCACCATCTCGGATGACCGAATGGCTACTGACTGAAATCTTCCTAGCCAAAATTCCAAATCTCCAGAAGGCACCGCCCTTTGGCTATTGGCACACCTGGCCGGTTGATTCAGCCGTTTCGTTTCTGACCGTGTCCGTTTATTTGGTCACTGTTCGTGTCAACAACATGTACATTTTATGTATATATCATCCATCAAAAAATAGAATAGAGAGCGTTGGGGCTAAAATTGGAAACATTGCATACAAATAAGGATGTGGTGGGCATGGTTGGAGAGAATTATTACTGTACAGAGATTGTATAATAGTGAGATTTAGGCAATAACACATCCACTGGAATTACTCGGATCCTTCTCTGTCTGGTAGATTTTTTCCTCGTGGACTGGGTCGAGTTTTGATTTGCTCTGAAAATAAATGTTCAACAAAAGAAGATGTTATCGATAACCTTACCTTCTTAATCTTGGTAAAATCTGGCATGTTTGCTTTAGTCAAATCAAAAGCGGAATAGACGGCAGTGTTCCACATCTCGGCTGGTGGCGGATATTTAAACGAATCCAACTTGGCTAATCCGTAAGTGGCTTCTACATCCAGCTGTGGGATCTCATCTGGAACCTTTTGATGGTAGATAAATCCATTCTCTCGCTCTGCCTTCTCCAGATGACGATTCAAAAGTGGCTCGATTCTTCGGAAGAATAGATGTTGCTCGGGTTTGATTCTTGTTCCTGGACCGGTAGCCGTGGCATACATCGCTGCCATCTCCTTGGCAATCTCATATTCAGCTTTTCCTTGCTTACAAGCTCTCACAGCTTCTCCGCATTTGTCCTCTGATAACTGTTTCTGTCCGAGGAAGGCATAAGCGTAAGCCAGGTAGAAATGATGTTTGAGTTGAAGATATCTTCTCCATCTTGCAAATTGATCATCTGGAAGATTGTTCAGGCTTTGTTCGGCTTTAGAGAAAATTGAAGCAGTGACTGCGGAGAGGGAGGATATTAATCCATCGTCATGTTTCATCTCAATGGCTCTTGCAACTATCACTTCCTGGGCTTCCGCGGTGGCTGTCAGAATATAAGTCTCCATAACTTTCGGGTCAAAATCCGATCCTTCAACTTCATTGGCACCTGACAGTCTCGCTGATTCTTCCTTGACGTACTGGAACATTCCACCGGCTTGTCTCAAACACTGAAGACATTCTTTAGCATCTGACTCTCTGACTTCGTCCTTTCCAGCCATTGAAGCCGCGTGTTTTGTGAGCCACATAGCCATGCATTGAATCATGCTGAGTGCTTCGAACCAGGTATCAGAGACTTCGGTGGCGGTTTGCGGGAGCATTGAGTTGCCCCATTTGAAGCGAATTAGGGGGATGAGCTTGCTGTTCTTGTTTCCAGCATCCTTGTTTTCCCTGGAATAGTTTTTATTTTTTGTGAAAAATTGGGAACAATATTTTTTATAGTTGAGATCTTGCCAAAAAATTTTTGGCACCACGATGCACCATTTCTAGTACCGCATTACCTCTAATAGAAGCCCACCCTATAAGTGCACTTTGAGCTCAATTATCTCGGTTCTTTCAGAATATACCAAAAATATTTAACTGATAAATTATTTATCATACTATCACCTAAATTTTATTAGTTGGCAGATTTGTGATATCTCTTATAGTAATTAAGATAACTGGGCTCAAATTAAAGGTGGGCTTCTATCTAATAGAAGCCTATCCTATATGTGCAGTTTGAGCGCAATTATCTCGGTTCTTTCTGAAAATATCAAAAAATTATCAACTATTCAAATATTGGCGATAATATGATGAACAGTTTATCAGTTGACAATTTTTTGATATTTTCCGAAGGAACCGAGAAAAATTGGCTCAAAGTTAGAAGAGAGAGGGGGGGGGGGAGCCCTTCTATTAAATGTGTCAGTTTTTTTTAAAAATTTATTTTAAATTTAAAAAAAAACTCACAAATCTGCAACCGATGATTGAATCTCAATCAAAAATCCAGCAAAAAGACGCAAGTATTCATTGAATTCCTTAGTGACTTCATCCAGATCGTTCGACGCATTTTTGAACTGCCCAACCAATTTATCACGACGCAAACGGAGCTCACTGAAAACATTAATTTTGATTCAATTGTTTTTTTCAAAAAAGTAAAAAAATTACCCGCAAATCTTGGAGCAAGTGTCTGTGGTCAGCACTCCTTTCAGCTCAAACTTGACGAATTCCGTAGGCTTTATAGGATTTCGATGGAACCAGTGAGACATTTTTTGAGGAGAGAGGTCTGAAAGTGTTAAAATGATAAAACGATCGATAAGAGAACACAAAATCACAACAAGAAACAGAAAAAAAAACTAAAAATAGAGTGTTTGAACAACAACGATGATTCAGCCAAAGTGATGTTTCGTAAGTCTGGAGAGAGAGACTAAAAATCGATATGATTGTGGTGTTTGTAAATAGAGAAGGTATAATTTGCTATAAACTGTTAAGTTGAGTGTCGAGAATTTATTGGGGTAGGTAGGAGTAAATGAAACATGATATCCTTAAGTTGGGATAGTAAACAATAACAACAAAACCCAATAAACCGCTTGGGAATGCAACTGCGCTCTGTTGAGATGCTAAATACAAGGGTCACAAGGAGGGAGACTATGTGTGCGCGCGCACACTGGCTGGTAGCAACAATGGCATTTCTTCCTTGGAATAAGAGGGCTCTTTTGGAATACATAGAAGAAATAATTTATCAAAAAAAAAGAATTTTATCAGTAGAAAGAAGGTTGATTCATCGTTACATCAGAGGGTTTAATTTTAATTTTTTGTCTTGGAAAAATTGATAAGAGAATGCAAAGAAACTACAACAAAAAAGGTTTCAAATTGAAAGTGACGTTTCTTATAGAGTAGTCGTCATAATTGTCCCCGACACTCTGCTCGCCGCTCGGCTTCGGAATGTGCCATTGGTGACTGTGTGGGATTTGGATGGAATCTCACGAGTTTGGCTAGGCGTTGATGATTTGGTGTGGAAGACTGACATGAGGAATCTGGAAATAGATCATGATTTCTATGAGGAATAATTCGTGTGAAATTGAGAGAATTTCTTTGAAGAAGTTCTCGGCTTCTGATCAGATTCNGCTTTTGGACAGGGTATTGCCCAGGGGGATAGTCGGGAACTTGCCCAAAAACCGGCTCTACAGCGTCTCATGGTCAGATTTTGACAGGAAGTTGAAAGTTGTAAGCTCAATTTTTGTTGAATAAGATTTACCCATCCATCAAGATTACAGTCAACGCTGAAACTGCTCCACACACAAATTGAAACCATTGAGCCGAATAGAACGTGTAGACATATGTGTTCAGCATACAATCTGTGGTATGGGTACAGTCTTGAATCACGCACTGAATGAACATCCTCCTTCTTTTCCGCTTCCTAGTCTCTGACAAATTCTGGTCCATCACTGCACCCAAACCAATTGCAGATCTTACAATTTTAACGATACTAGAGACATTGATACCGAATGAAATAATAGCCAGGACAAGAACTAGGTTAGTAACGTATTCAGAGAGTGTCCTGGAGCATAATGTATCCATTGGACTCCAGGAAACACTCTCGACGAAGAAGATGTAACTGCATTCATCTGAAATTTTGTTGGTTACCACTTTTTAAAGTCCATTTCCTACCTATCATTGCTGGAAGGGACATTGCTATCGAGAGAACCCATAGTACACCTAACATGACATTTGTCCAGGGTACCTTGTGTTGTTTGTTGAACCAGTAGGGATAAGAAATCGCCACAGCTCGATTCACTGCTAAACACATTTGAGTAAACGGCCCAGACATCAAGTAAGGGCCCCAGCCAACGATTTGTCCGAAAAATATGTTGAAATAGTGCGGAAGGTAAAGATAGTTCCTGAAAGGATTTTCAAGGGAATAAAGCGGTTTTTGGTTTTTTTCAGGCTTACAAGTAAGAGCATGGTGCGGCCCACACTAAAAATGCTAAAGCAATGAAAATGTTAGCGATAGCTTTGTTGATGCAAATTTTATGAAAACCCTCGCGTTCTCGATACATGCGACAGACAACTAAGCCGTTGAGGAATATCACAGCAAGGCTCATCTAAAAGTAAAATATGATCTACCGTAAACACTCTAATAGAATGCCATTCTATACTTGCACATTGAGCCCATATATCTTGGCACCTGTAACAGTTATCAAAAAGAAGTGTTTTGTCAGTTGACCACTTTTTGATTTCTCTTACAGGAACCTAGATATACGGGCTCAAGATGTAAGTATAGGATGACCTTCTATTAGAGTGGTTACGTTAACTTACCACAAGCATAACAGAAGCAGCGAATATCTGAACTCGATCATTGTGAATTTATTTCAGACTAGAACCAAAATTTCTCTTCCAGCTCAATTCCAACTTTTTCTAGATTCTCACCATTATTCGATTAAAAATGTCAGGGAACAAAATGCCATGGAATCTTGATGCAGGTTTCTATATAAGAATAATACACTTTTTGTTCTCAGGTTCAAAGGAAGCTTCTTATTTCGAATATAAATTTTAGACTAGCATTTTTAGTACATAAAAAAAGCACATGAAAAAAGATGGGGCGGTCTCACTAACGAGTTGTATAGTAGGAGCTACACCTTTTGGTTTTTATATCAAGCTCCAACGAGTCCGAATTTCTTTTTTCGGTTTGATGATCTTGATTCAGAGAAATTAGTTGAACTAAAAAAATGAACTGAAACGTGAGGAGTTTTATATTTTTATTTTTAGGTTAGGAAAAAAGAGGGAATGGTTCAAAGAATTTGGTCAGTGCAACAAAAACATGGAGTCAGACTTATTCTTGAAAATTTCAGAAGATGTATAGATTCAGTTATATTTGAAGGAAGGTGTTTACAAAAACGAGCATAACAATTACTGAAAAATTATGAATTATAAAAATTATAATTGAAAAATTATAAAGTGTCAAATTTGGCTTCCAAGTATTTAAAACAGGAACATGATAGCGTTTTGGTCATTTTGTTTTTAGAAAATGAGATTAAAACGTTCTCCGTAAATAATTTTCTGGGTATTTACTTATTTTCGTATTTATTTATCTGGACTAGAAATGCTGAAAATGCTGAAAAAAAGATCCTGGATGTTCGGGATTGGGTATTTCTTTCGAGCTTCTGAATCTCTGAGTTTCTGAATTTCTGGAAAAAATGCTGAAGTTTTCAACATATTGAGCCCTTCGGCATTTCTGAATTAAATGTCTCTATTTTCTTCAAATTTCGTAATACCGATTTTTTAAACTTTCAAGGTTTTAAGATTTCAAATTCCTTTTAACTGCTTTGTTCCTCACTTGTTTCATACTTTTCAGATTAAGCAATTGTTTTGAGTAGAAAAACTAATTAAAATCTCTATAATTTGTTTTCATTGTTTTTCACACCTGCCAACCCCGAAAGTTTTACGGTAGATCAAAGCTGGTCTGACTGATTTTTCCTCTATAAAACTTCCCTCCTGAGGAAACGGAATTACAAACAAGAAGAAGACAAACACAACTCCATTTATTTCTGATAGGTAATCTTTCGGGATATCTTTCCTCGATCATTGTTTCTCTGAAGCTCGGCGGATGAGCCTTGGATTCGAGCTGTTGACTCTCGGTTGTACCAATTACGAAGCTGAAAGTCTAAACATGCTTATGTTAGTATAGGTTGAAATGTTCAATTCTTCTAACAATTAGTCATGTATATCCCACTCAAAGCATTAATAGTACGATAGACTTTTCAGGTACTGTATATCTCCCAAGATTCTTGTATTCAGTAAGGAGGTTCCAGAGAGAAACTCTCGGAAAAATGCCCAATGTGTGTAATCTTTTCTTTGGTGGTTCCGTTAACCTTTGTTCAAAAATGTTGAAACTTCAACCAGTTTGTCTCATGATTCAGTAGATCTTTTGAATTAAATTGTCGTTGAAAATGTTGACAGTTTTTTTTGGATCTATCTTTGCGAATTTCCAAAACACTTTGACATTTTCCTTAACTTCGAACATGTTCCTTCTTTTCTTGTCCTTTTCTGTTTTTGCTTTTGCAGACGATTATAAGAACTGTGAACTAAAAGATGGCAGATTTGCATGCATGAAGGTTATCACAATTTTCCATTCAATTCGACTTAAATACCGCTTCCAGGCCTTTAATGATATCAGGAACAGCGTGTTAACTGGACTAAATAACGAAGAAAATGTTGGAAGAACTCTGCAACTGTGTTCTGAATATCGAAAGTGTGCTGGAAGAATGAAATGTAAAGCCCATGATGTGATAGTTGGGTATAACGACAAACTTTTAATTCTTTGTGAAGCCATTGAGTTACTTAAAATCGGCGCCGTTGATGTATGTGAATCCAAAATAGAAGCTAACAGATCAACGTGTTATGTTGAAATTTATCGAACTTTTCCAACAATAATTTGCAATTTTATGCAACATTTTCATTAGAATATTTGAATTTTTGAATTTTTGAAATCGAAAAAACATTTAATGTTAGCAACCTTTCTACAATTTTTCAAACCTTTTTTCGAAATATTTTGATCTTTTTTCTACCAACTGGCCCAGATAACGGTGAAGCTGTTGAAAAACTTCTTATTCTTTGTGACGTCAATGATTTCCGTAAAAGCGTCGGTTTCAAAGAATGCGCTGTCAAATTGGAAGCTAACAGAACTACGTGTTATCGAGAGTGGAATCCGTTTCCAAATAAGGTAGAAAAGAAGAAGATTGAGGAGATTCAGAAGGAAGCATGCAAAAACTTTTTTGGAAAAGACAACTGTATGGAAAAGGAGATTTTTGATAAGTGTGGATTGGAAATGTGGAAGTTGCACAAAAAGGTAAAATTTTGTTTGCTAACTATAACTTAAAGATAAGTCTTTCAGCACTATCTGGCAATGAACAGTGCGACTGGAGCATGTAAATTCGATTGAAAATGCATTGTCACTGACTAACTTTTTTCAGTTTTCGTTCTGATTTTTGGTTTTTTTTTGAAGTTTAACAATCAACTTTGTTGACTTCCACTTATTTGTGACAAATAACTGTCTCGCCCAAATAAAATTGTTCTTCAGTAATATAATTCAATAGTATTGAAATTTCAACCAGTTTTTCTTATGATTTGATGTGTTTGCTAAAAGTAATTGTCGTTGAAAATGTTTACATGTTTTTTTTTGGACACAACTTAAATGACTTTCAATCCATATTTTCAGATTTCGAAAACTGATATTTTTCTTCACTGAAGTTCCAACATGTTCTTTCTTTTCTTGTTCATTTACTCTTTTGCCTCTGCAGCCGATTATAAGAACTGTGATCAGGATTGCAGATTTCAATGCTTAAAGGTTTTCAGAACTTGTCGTTTTGTTCGATTAGATCACTTATTTTCAGATCGTTCACGATATCGGAGACAACGAGTTAAATGGCGGTCATAGCGACGAAGCTATTGAAAAAACCAGTAAACTTTGCTCCGAATTTCGAAAATGTGCGGAAGGAATGAAATTTAAAGCTCCAGATTTAATCATTGAATACATCGATAAACTTCTTATACTTTGTGACGTCAATGATTTCCGTAAAAGCGCCGGCTTCAAATCATTTAGAGCTAAAATTGAAGCTAACCGATCCCCGTGTATTCGAGAGTGGAACCCGTTCCAGATAAGGTAGCAGACGAGAAGAAGATGGAGGAGATTCAGAAGAAAGCGTGCAAAAACTTTTTCGGAAAAAAACAATTGCATGGAAAAGGAGATCGCTGAAATGTGTGGTGTGGAAATGTGGAAGTTGTACAAAAAGGTAAAACTGGATTTTTAAACTGATTCCGAGATTTCCGACTTTCAGCACTATCTGGCAATAAACAGTGCGTCTGGAGCATGTAAGTTTGATTGTAAATCAACGACTGGTTTTCCATTTTTCGAAGTTTAACAATCAACTTTGTTGACTTCCACTTGTTTGTAACAAATTACTGTATCGCCCAAATAAAATCGTTCTTCACTCTTTCTATTTTTTATCAAAAGAAACTTCTGATTCGCCAGAATTCTGATTCTCGAAAATATGTTTCTACTCTTTGTTATACTTATTCTCTTCAAGTTCGGAGCACCCGATGAGGATTGTATTCCTAATGAAGCTGAAAAGGCTCGATGTATCAAGGTGATTACTGTGAAAGAAGGGCCTTTTAACTTTCAGTCAATTGTTTTTGTTTCCTGTGAAAGGTATAATATAGTTGTTAACTGATAACTTGTTCATTGTTCATGTGTTTTGTCAGTTGATACATTCAATATATCTTTGAGAGGAACCGAGTTAAACTAGCTCAAACTGGTCAGTGTAAGAGCTCTTCTATTACAGGTTTAACGGTATGACTTTAACATTTTTCACACTTTTTGGAAGGTTGCAGAAATACTACGATATTCGAAAAAACTCCTTGTCTCTGGATTTCATACAAGACGCTAGTATTGAGACCATTTTTAACATCTGCGCAGAGTTCCGAACATGTGCTCCATCGATAGAATGTGGAGAGGAAAACAAGGAAATCAAAGTGGAAAAAATGATGAAGTTCTGTGATGTGATGGAGTATCGCAAGAATCATCCGTTCGAAGATTGTGGTCGAAAAGTGAACGATCGGATGTCGCAATGCTACAGGGACTGGGGATCGCCATTACCAGAAAGTGACGATCCAAAAAAGACGGAGGAGATTTTGGAAGAGTTTTGTATGAGCTATTTTGGAAAAGACAATTGTATGGAGACCGAAGTTACTGAGTTGTGTGGTGTGGAAGGATGGATCGTTTTTAAGAAGGTATAGAAAACCATTTTTTTGATTTAGATTTCGTTTTTGTTTTCAGATGTTCCTGGATTTCAACAAGGTTAGTGGACGTTGCCAGTTTGATTGAAATAGATCATTTGCTTTTTAATAATTGTGAAAAATATAAATGAATGATTTATAAGTTCTTACACCCCGGATCCAACTTCTTCATGTGCAGAAAATACTGAAAAAAATTAGGATTTAAAATTTTCGATTGCTGAGAAAAAAATCACAAACCCTTTTGAAGTTGGCCCATATTTCAGCTCCACAAAGACCGGTGATTTCCTTTTCCAAACAGTTGTCCTTCCCAAAATAATTCTTACACGCTTCTTCTTGAATTTGAGCCATTTTCACTGGATCGTCGACTTTGTCTGGGAACGGTTTCCATTCTTGAACGCACACGGATTTTTTGGGATCCAATTTAGCATCACATTCGGCGAATTCTTTAGTCTCTCGATAGGTGACAACATCACAGAACGCATCCATCTTATCAATTCCAATAATAACATCGTTATCAGCTTTACACTTCAGTACATCCACACATTTGGGGAACTCCAGACAACCTTTGTATGCTGGGCCATCCTTTTTACGCTCAAGAGCAGTGGCGCCATTTTGACGGATGTCGTTGTAGGTCTGAATTATGTATAGTGTAGTGTGTGATACCTTAAGACTTGTATTAGAAGGGCACCTTTAATAGAAAGGCCTCTTTAATAGAAAGGTCCTCCGGAGAGACCTTGGAACGATTGAAGGGCTGCCTATCTAATACATACAGGGTTTACGGTAAATAAATTTTTGTAGTACCGCGAATGCTCTAACACAAGCCTATCCTATACGTGCACTTTGAGCTCAATTATCTCGGTCTTTTCTGAAAGATACGAAAAAGTGGTAAACTTATAAATTCTTTATCAAAATGTCATCAATATTTTATCAGTTGACTTATTTTTTATATCTCTCCAAGGGGCCAAGATAAATTAGCTTAAAGTTGACAGTGTGGGGGTGGGGCCCTTCTAATAAAGGTTTTAATATAACTCACTTTGAGACATTGGACCAGTTTTTGCTTATCAGTTAAACAGTCATCCGCGTATACAGTAAAGAAATATAGTATGATGAAAATATAAAATTTCATATTGAAATTTAATAAAATTGAGAACAGTCGACTTCTTTTATGTAGACAGAACACCTCGAAAGGCCAAAACACAAAGTTTGTCAACAAAAGTGATTGATTAGAACAAAAGTGATTGATTAGAAAAGTGATTGATTAGAAAGAACATGATATCAATTTGGCGGCGAAAACAAGTCAAGTTTTAAAAACTTAGGATCGAATGTTTCCAGTCTCATCCAACTCGCACGCTTCATTGATTTCGTTCAGGGTCAGGTAGTACTGAAAATTAAACATAGAGCCAAAGTTTTAAATGTTGACTTACCTTTTTGAACTGAATCCATATTTTTGCTCCACAGTTCTCCGTCAGCTCCTTCTCCAAACATCTATCCTTCCCGAAAAAGTTTTTACAAGCCTCCTTCTGCATCTCTTCGGTCTTCTTCTCATCACCTGGAACTGGGACGGGAAATGGGTTCCATTCTCCAACACACGTGGAATTCTTTTCCGCAAGTTTCAAATCGCAATCTTCGAATGCTTCGGATTGATGGAACTCAACGATATCGCAGAATGTAATCAATTTTTCAATAATCTTCACAACACCATCTTCCACTCCACACTTCAATTGCTCATGACATTTTTTGAAATCCGAACATGGTTTGTTAATCTTGGAATTGCTGTCCTTGTCGTAAATTTCAATTGAATATGATAGTTCGCGGATTTCGTTGAGATGCTGGAAAAAGATGGGAGGAGAATTTTGAAACAAATCAGAATTACCTGAATGCATTTATAAGCTCTTGGGCCTACCAAACTAGTGCATTTTTCCGCACCAGAACCAAGTATAAATCTTATTAGAAAAATAATGACAGTCCACATTTCAGAGGTAAGAAATTCAAAAGAAAGACAGTTGAAAAAGATACTTTTATTGCGAAGAAGAAATGATCAAAGTACGGTAGAAAAGTTTTAGGTATAATACAAAAACATTGTCAACAATATCTTCAAGTTTGAAAAATCTGAAAGATCAAAGTATAAAGGTTCCCCTTCATTGATGTTAGCATGATAAAATTGATGATTTTCAAACAATTAGGTGCGAATGTTTCCCATCTCATCCAAATCGCAAGATTCAAACAAATTATTCAGAGCCAGATAATGCTGAAATCTGGGATTATTATCAACATGAATCGTTCAATTACCTTTTGGAACAGATTCCACATTTCGCTCCCGCAGTTTTCCGTCACTTCCTTCTCAACACATCTGTCTGCTCCGAAAAAGTTCTCACAGGCTTTCTGATAGACTTTCTTGGTTTTTTCCTCATCATCTGGAACAGCAGGCGGGAATGGTGCCCAGTCTGAGATACATGTGGAATTTTTCTCTCCAATTTTATCATCACACTCTGCGAATTCGTTGGATTGATGGAATTCTATGACGTCGCAAAATGCAACCATATTTGTGATTGTCTTCAAAATGTCGTCGTCCATATCACATTTCAATTTTTCATAGCATTTTTTGAATTCCAAACATGGTTCGTTGACTTGTGATCTCTCATCTTCGTAGTATATATTGACAGTACGAGTAAGCTCGTCGATTTCGTTTAGGTTCTGAATTCGAATTCGTAAATATACCGAATTTGCTCCAAGACTGTGATCTCACTTATCTCAGTTCCTATGAGAGATATCGGAAATCTTTCAACTGATAAAAAGTTGCTGATATTATGATAAATAATTTATCAGTGGACAACTTTTTGATACCTCTCAAAGGAACCGAGATGATTGAGCTTTACATATTGCAAATTTAACCCCACCTTTATGCATCGATATGCATTGTTTCCAGACAAAGGAGTACATTTTTCCTGGACAATTCCAGATACAAATGTTACTAGAAGAATAAATAAGATGAACATTTGTAAAGGTAGAATAGAAAGTGATCAAAACCAATCGACTTTTATTTGAGAAATTGAACCAAAGTCCATGTTCGGATAGAAACAAAAAATACGAAGTTAATTGATGATCGTGTTTTTAATTTACAGGTTTCAGAAAATTTATTTTCAACACGACGTTTGATTGGAAAATGTTTGAAGTATTTAAAAAAGTTCAATTTTCCCCAGACACCATAAAATTCAATTAATCTGTATCAAATTTTGAAGTGAATCCAGGGCTCGATTTCGAACAATTTTGAAGTTCAAATAATTCATCAGTATACTGACAAAGTTCCAAATTATTTGGTCAAATTTAAGCTGCGTTATCGCTTATCAAAGTTGCTTAATCTCATGAAAATCACAAGAAACATTACGCCGTTCGTCTACGTCTTGTGCTCTTCAGCTCTCTTCCTCTTCCTCAAAATTTTAGTTCCTCGATCACTAATTTTTTTTCTATTCTCTCTCAATATTTTTTTCCAGGAACTTCGAGAAGTACGTGTTAAAAAGATGAAACAAACAAAGGTGTCAATCAGTCGAAACGTTTTAGAAAGATCCTCTCGACATACCTGAACAGTTGCTCTCCAGTGTTCTGGTTGGTTTAAAAGCGGGTCCATGATGTGTAGATTCATTCATTTTGCTTTTTGACCTCTTCTTCTTTGACATTTTTATGATTTTTTTTCAGAAAATGACGAGTTTTCTCAAGCTTGTAGTCGTTGGGATGATTCTAGTGGGAGTTGCTCATGGAGCCAGTGTGGCCACTGCTGATGCTAAGGGCACTAACTGTACATTGACCGATGGTTTCCAGGCTCTGTCTTGTATAATGGTGAGTTATTGGAACTTTACTTTGGGTTTAACCCTTTTGCAATTTTTAGCGGCTCTCTGACTTTGCCGAAAAGATTGATGAGCTCGACATGGACGACAAAAATGAGGTTAAGGAATTCAAAAAGAGTTGTGATTCTCTTGAAAAATGCTTCTCTATGCTCACCTGTGGCAAGCAACAAGACGCTGAGACCAAGCAAGCCGTTTCATCCATCAGGAACTACTGTGATGCCGTTGTTTACATGGCTGCGGATTTCGGAGAATGCAGTGAGAAGTTGGAGAAAAATAAGTCTGAATGTTTCGAAAATTGGGATCCCTTCCCGGATGCAATTGATGAGGAGAAGGATGAGAAGAAGAAAGAGGAGCTGAAAAAGAATGCATGCAAGAACTACTTTGGAAAAGATCAGTGCTTGAAGAAGTTGATTACCGAAACGTGCAGTGAGAAAGAATGGCAAGGATTCCGTGATGTAAGAATTTTTAGGGGGTTTTTTTTGGTTAAGGTGTGTTGTAACGCTGTACAATGCTTAGTGTTCACACAGCTGTCGTCTTTGCTTTAGCTTCTCCCGCGTGGCTCAGTCAGTAATGGAGCCGCATCTTCAATATTAGTCCCACAAGTTCAACTCCTCGAGAGGCTTCAATGAAAAAAATTTCAAGACAGTCATTTTTTCCATATCCTCCCACCTGAAGGTGTTCAGATATTTGAAGTATGTAATTTCAGCACTTCATCTCTATCAGCAGCGTCTTGCTCACGTGCGACTTCAAGGATGTCTAATGGCTTTCTCTACAGTAACCAAATTAAAGTTTTCATGTCAAATAATGCAATGAAAGTAAAATAAAATTGTTTTATTAAAAATTTTCAGTAATAGATTCTCAATTTTCCTTATCATCACATATAGACAATGCTTCTGCCACAATCCGCAACTCCTGTAATAAACGATCTTCATTTTCGGACAATCATAACAATACCTAGACTTGAGAAATCGCTTTGAAAATTTCAGTAGCTTTGAATCTAACGTAAAACTATATTTCTACTAATTTTCGTGCATTCAAAATGCTTATGTCTAAAGATATACCTGTTTTTATCAGTTCGGCCCAATTAAGCTCACCTTTTGGTATCTGTGCCCTTGTACCTCACCACATCTCTCGGTTGCCTCCTTGATCGTACAATCGTCTTCACCGAAAAATTTTCCGCAACTTTCCTTTTCCTTTTTAGTCATTTTAGTATCATTTCTTCTCCACTGAACGGGTTATAATCTTGATAACAAGTTGAATTAGCTTCCCGAAGTTTGACTTCACAGTTTCGGAACTCTTTCAGAATATGCATGTTCTTGTTACACTCTCTCTGTGATTCTTAATATCTGTGTATTTCGTATTGTTTTGACATTTGTAAGAAGGATCACAAGTCAAAAAATGCTCGCCACTTTCCAGATAGGCTTTTAGAGATTCATAGTCTTTTGGGTGAGCTTTAGCGATGTCTATCAAATCTAGAAGAGTCTGAAAACAATCATTTTAGCATCGAGTACAGTAACCCAAGTCTTACTGCTGTACAATTCAACATTGTCAGAACGGCATGTTCAGATTCACAATCTGGTTTTTCCGCTCCAAACGAACTTGAGAAAAATAGAAAAAGGGCAATATATTCGAGCATAGTGGTAGGAAGAGTGGGAAAATGCTACTAACAGATAGCAACTAAAAATGTTTCTCAAATGATATTGTTTACGTTTTCCTGACATGATAAAACAAGTTTATTTTGAAGTGATAACAGAAAGTAATCAGCTGACAAGATAATAAAATAGAACAAAAAATAGAACCAAGGGAAATGTAGCAACAAAATCGTTACGATTGACAAAGTCTTAAGGTCTGAGCCAAGTTTTGGAGGTTTTACACTGTGCTCCAACGGATTTGATCGCAAATGTTAGGTTCTCATTGAATCCTCCTTCGGCGCATTCAAAGTCAGGTTTGCATGTGTCAAAAAAGTCGCAATCTTTGAGATAAACTCGCTTTTCCTTATCATCAAGGTTCGTGCGATTTTTCCACGAATCCATCAAAATAAAAAGATCCTGAAATATGATCATGCGAATTGAGAAAACATGTGAAGTATTACTGAAATGCATAAAGAAATCCTTGCCCGAACTTTTTCCATGTTACATGACGACGTTGGCTTGCCAGTACTGTATGCAGTCAAAAAAATTAATGCAGTTAAGACAATCATGATTGTACAACTCAGGTAAGGTTGATAACAAATGATATAGTCAATGTCTTTATCAGGAATGTTTCGGTACATTTAGTTAAAATTTAACGAATTTGATGTTAGTAAATAAATTGCAGATTATTTACTGGTAAACTATATTAGATATCAGATTTTTTCTAAATTGTGAAAACCTGAAATATGATTTTACGAAATGAAACATGCTCATAATTCGGAGGGTACAACGATTCGAAAGTACATACAAGGGGACAAAGTGATGTAAGGGTACAAAAACCACAATTCGGGGGTACAAATCTCAAACTGTTCCAGGTATTTTGTCACCCCAAAGTGAGAATTTTGTACCTCTAAATCGATTTGTACCTCAATGACCTCCAAAATTTTTATACTCCCCCCCCCCTCCCAATTATTTGTCCGATTATTCTTCGAACTTCAACATACTTTATCAAAAACTCTGGGAAAACTAGGAGTTCAAATTGGACAGAGTCTCTGTAACAGTTTCACTTGAACCCAATCTTTCTGATATCACATGAAAAATGTGTGTGTAATGTAAAAAATCCAGTAGGATCTCATCCCAATATTTTACGTCTTTGTCCGCACATCCAATGGATCAGATGGTGATTATGCCTCAAGTTAGTTGGACGTTTCAATAGCACTTGGGGGGAGGACATCTGTTCTTCCCACCTTCCGTGGGCGTTACGTGCTGTGGGTGAATATACGGGATGCAGCTTCATTCTAGGAGGTTTTTGAGTTTAAAAAGCCATCCTCAAATCCTCAAAATTTTTTTAGAACCAGGTTCGATCATGAGAAACATATTCCTTCTATTTTGCTTCATTTTTGTTGGGAGTTCTCATGGAGCCCCATTGGAAACCCATGGAGTCCAATCTAATATTACCTGTATCAAAACTACGAGCTACAATTCCACGAGTGTTCAGTGTTCTAAGGTGAGTTGTTTTATAATTAGAAGTGCGATACTAGAAACTTTTTTTCCCTGAAAATCTATTTTAAGGAAGTCAATAAGTATATAAACAAGACACGCTCCTTTGATGACATGAAAAACAAAACTAGGATCGATGATTTATGCTCTGGAGTGACAACATGCCTTAAATCTCTATCACATTGTCGAATTTTTGGTCCAGGACTAACGCATTGAGAACCTCATTCACAATTCATGTGCTTTCGCTAAGTACGCAGCCAGTACTCCATGCGTAGAGAAGTTGGAATCACACGAGGCGGAGTGCTCCATCAAATGGAATCCGTTTTTGGATAAAGGTGGTCTGTATACTGAGGAAGAACCTAAGGAGAAGTGTAACACCTTTTTGGCGAGAATGGATGCATCAGAGACGCAATGGTGAGGTGGTGCGGGCGAGAGGAATGGGTACAGTATCGAAATGTGAGTTGTTGGTTTTAGATTGGGACATTAAAGGAGGCCAGACACAAAAAAAAAGTTTTCCTGATATTTTGCATATAGAACCCCCATGAGGGGTTGAATTCATGACAGGCAGCTCAGGGGTACAGCGCCGCTACCGGCTGAGCTACGGGGGCGCGAAGGCGCCTGATGACCGATGGTCTACATAAGCGCGGCGCGATTTCGTCCTCCGAACTGTCCCCCGAAATTTTTGCTGTCTCGCCTCCTTTAAAGTTATTTTCAGCATATGCTAAAACTCGACGATGAGATTTTCAAACAGTGTAATATGAATGCTGCCGACTAGAATTAGTTTGTCTATATGTTTGAACAATTTTCATATTTTTTATTAATTTTTTTCCGTTCCTAGAGTGTCCTCTACTTTGAAACCCTTTTATTTTAGTTTTCTGGGTGTAATTTTTCTCCGATTTTAATAAAATCAGATTGACAATTTCACCCGTCTTTGTCTAGCGACTCGGGCGTTTTAAAAGCAACCCAAGTGATACATGTGACCTTTGATTTTCTAATGGGCAAGCGAGTTACATGTGGTGGGAGGATACACGGAAAGCAGCTTTATCCTCAGTTTCTCTGGAGTTTGAAAAATCATCTTTTGGATTCCTCAAGAGTTGTTGAGAATCAGACTCAATCATGAGAAACATATTCCTTTTATTCTGTCTAGTTTGCGTTGAAAATTCTCTTGGATCGCCGTTGCAAGCTCACGGAGTCCAATGGAACCTGCGCCAAAGATCCTAGCCAACCTGCGCCAAAGATCCTAGCTACCACGTCAAAATTGCTGTGTGTACAATGGTGAGTTAACTTTTAATTAGGAATGTGATATATTTTTTCTAGGAAGTAAAGAGTTTTCTGCACAAGAATGATGACATGAAGAACAAAACTATGATTGATGATTTGTTGAAAAAATGCTCCAAAGCAACAACGTGCCTCAAGTCCCTCTCACATTGTCACATTTTTGGAATTGATCGTACCCCAGTCGTCGAGAACATTGTTTATACCATATGTGATTTCACGAAATGGGCAGCCAACACCCCCTGCAATACAAAATTGGAGTCATACGAGGGGGAGTGTTCCCCGGAGTTAAATCCCTTTATGGATCCTCATGCGGATGAGGAAAGAAAGAAAGAAAAGTGTGAAAACTTTTTTGGCGAGAATGGATGCATCAGAGACACAATGGTAAAGTGGTGCGGCAGAGAGGAATGGGTGCAGTACCGGGATGTGAGTTGTTGATTTTGGATTAGGACATTAAGGTTATTTTCAGCTTATGCTTAACCTCAATGATAAGGTGTTCAAACAGTGTGAGATCAACGCTGCCGACTGGAATTGATTTTTCTTGATGCTTAAACAGATTTTATAATTTTTGCATTTTAGTTTCTCCATACTTCATCAAAAAACGAGCAATGAATAAATGATTAAACTTCCTAGACCCTTTGTGAAGCTCTTGACCCCCAGAAAAAAGGAATTCTTCCAACCATGACAGTTGGTGACACTTGTCATTCAAAATGAGGGATGTTTGCCTCCTCCAATTCATGCTGGTTCCTGTTGTTTTGTGCAGCTAATGGGAGTAGCAGCAGCAGCACAAAAGTTCAGGACAGATGTTTCTGGGTCCTCGCGTCTTCTATTCTTCACACTTCACAATGAAATCTGTCTTCAGTATTCTCCTGGTTGGTGTCGCTCTTTTTGGTGGCGCATTCGCAGCCAGTGTACCACCTGCGAAGATCGGAAAGAAGTGCTCACCAGCGGACGGGAGAGCGATCACAGAATGTAAAGCGGTGAGTTACTTCTGTTATTGATTTAGTTAGAACTGACTAGACGGGATTTACGGGCCGCTGTATTTTTCCAGTACAAAAAGGCATACCGTAATGCCTATAATGTCTAGTCTGGGATAATTTTTATTGTCTCCTATGTAAGATATTAGAAACGTCCCAACTGATAAAATCTTTAGGCTCTAGTTGGTTATTTTGGATTTTAAAGAAAATTTTGGATTTTAATAAAAATTTTGGATTTTAAAATTATTTTTGGATTTTGAAAAAAATTTTGGATTTTAAAGAAAATTTTGGATTTTGAAGAAAATTTTGGATTTTAAAGACCTTGAAAAACATTAAAATCCAAAAATTTCGTGCGATAAAATTTTCATCATAAATTGTGACCAGTGTTCCTCATGGCTGTACTTCGCTGTAATCAACATTTGAACGATTGATTTGTCGTCGTTTTCAGACATTTTCATAGTTTTCGAATTGTTTTGGATTTTGAAGACAGTGGAAAAAATTTGAGACTAGAGACAAGCTTGAGAGCAGTGTGTGTTTTTCGAAAGATATTTTTCGAAAAAGGCTATTTTCGAAAAATTTTCGAACGAAATTTCGAAAAAAAAAATCGAATTTTCGTTCGAAAAGTTTTCGAAAAGTCGTTCGAACGTAACGAAAATCACACACTGCTTGAGAGGGTTTTGAACGTTAATGTTTATTGCCCTCATCTTGTCGGGAATCCAGGATCGAAGGGTACATTAAAAAAGGGTACGTTGAGGGTACACTGAGCTCTTAGGGTACATAGGTTCAGATGGTTAATGGGATCTTGTGTGTAGGTCGTTTTAGCTTGAGCCTATGATTTAGAAGCTAAATAGTCAGTAGGAAAATTCTTTCGCCCTCCCGCATGTACCACAAAATCCCATGTATGTCAATGTACTCTAACGTAGATGTACTCTTTCCCGATGTACCCTTGGATACTGGGCCGTTGAAAATATGGCATATAAAGCCAAATGTAAAATTGACGTCAAGTTCCAGTGGAAGGAAAACAGCACATCAACATCAGCATCATCATCAGCAGCATCAAATTGAACGAAAAAACAGAAAATTTGAAATATAATTTAGTGAAAAAAAGAGATTTTCATTGATTTGAATTTCAGTACTTCATTAACTAGAATTTTTCAGAGTACTTTGTCTGATGTTTGAAATTATAGGCTTAGACTGAAAAGCTTTGTTATCTCTGTACTGAGGAATTTGAAAAAGGCACCAAATTCAAAACAGTTGGATGCTAAAAAAACTATAGCTTACTTAGCACCCAAATCAAATTTATTCTCAAGCAAACAAATAACAAACAATCTCTGACGGGCCAACGTCTGACGGTCGCCAGCGTACGAAGGCGCTTTTATGCCAAAAATCGAGTAGTTGAAAAGCAGGAGGTAATATTATGAATCTTTTCTGAATTCTTCAAAATCCAAAACTTTCCTGATAAAATCCAAAAATTACTTTAAAATCCAAAATTTTCTGGTCTTTTCTAAAATCCAAAATTTTTATTAAAATCCAAAAATTTCTTTGAAATCCAAAATAACCCTCTAGAGCCAATCTTTGTGATAATATGATAAACAAACAAAATATCAGTTGACAACTTTTTTATATCTTCGGCAGGAATTGAGAAAAATCAAGGAAAATTTAGAGCACGGTCGTTGATGGTTCAGAAATGATCTAACATACACCTGGTGTGTTTCCTAGGCTATTTACCATGGTGGCCTAAATTTTGCAAGTTGAAATGACCTGATTTTCACCTGGTAAATTTTCAAGGTCGTTTTGACATGGCGGCATAATTTTTTAACATGAGTCTTCTAAGCCACCACCTTTATGACTTGGGGGAGTTTCTGGGTCATTTTGGCATGGCGGCCTAAATTTTAATAGTTGAATTTTCTAGGCCAAGATGGTAACACGGAGAATGATAATGAAATTTTGAATATAATATCAAATTTGGAATTAGCCATCTCCCAAAAAACGTAAAACTTCAAAATATTTCAGCACATTCAAGAATACATGAAAGGAGTTGAAGATCTCACTGAGGAGGATATCAAACAAAGGATCAATATACATGGCTTTAAAGAAAAGTGTGCTCCAGTCAATCAATGTCTCACCTCTCTTTCTCACTGTGACATTTATGGAAATGGCCAGATGACGCTCCTCACCAATGTCGTCCGAACATTCTGCAACCTGGTCACCTATCTCGCCGAATCTCCTTGTTCTCAAAAGATGCACGCACATGATTCTAAATGTTTCAAGGAGTGGAATCCATATCTGGAGAAGGACGATGTCAAAGACGAGAACAGGAGGAAGGAAGCATGTAAGAACTATTTTGGGCAAAATGGATGTATGAGGAAGAAACTGATTCAAATGTGTGGGAAGGAGGAGTGGACCAAGTTTCGTGATGTGAGAAATAATGAGCAATTCATTTGTGTTGAATAACGAATCTGGGAAATTTAAACTTCCGTAAACACTATAATCGAACGACATCCCTTTGAATCAATTTATCTCGGCCCATGTGAAAGATATCGAAAAGTTGTCAACTGACAAAATATTTTTGATATCATGATAAATATTTTGTTAGTTAGCAACTTTTTGATAACTTTCACAGGAACCGAGATATATGGGCTCAGAGTTGACGGTTCGGAGAATTCTGTGTTTACAATAACTCCTTAAAAACTTTTGTGGATTTCATCAATCCTGTTTTTTCCATACATGTGGATGGCTGGGCCGGGCCGCCTAAGATAACTTTCCGAAAATGTTACTTTTCAAATGTGCCAATATATTTTTAATAGCACAAATATTAATCCAAATGCATACAACCATCCGAAAAAGTCAATTTGATTGAATTTTTAGCAAAAAAAAAATCAAACTTCATTAAGCCAAAACAGTTTTTTTTCGACAGAATCGTCCTCTAGTGTGGATTTTTATTTATTAAGGAGAAAAGCCATCTTGGAAAATGATAATTTGCTCTAAAATTTCGGAATTTTCAAAAACCGGGCCGGCCATGTGTAATTTTTTCTGGCCCGGCCCGACCCGCTTTCAGAAAAATCTCAGCCCGGCCATGGCCCGGCCCGGCCCGCCCCGGTCCAGCCCGCGGGCCGGCCATCTTTTCCACAAGTATGGTTTTTTCAGCATCTGATCAACCTCAACAACCTGGTCTTCAAGCAGTGTGACCTCCGAGTAATCGTCTGGAAATGACCAATTTTTAAATTTCATGAGCTTTTAATAAAATATTTTTCAAATTTAGAGTTTTTTTTTGTTGAAAAAATCAAGACCATAATGCCGCGTTCAAAGTTGATTTCCAGGAGTAATTTCCTGGAAAAACGCTGTCCAAAGCTGCCAATGTTTTCCAGATTTCCAGGCACACCAAACTACTGTATCACTCGCTTTGACTATGTTCTCTCTGTTGATTCATGTCGATTTACGGCGGGTCTCGAAGCGGAGGCCTCTGGAAAACAATAGCAGCTTTGGACAGCGTTTTTCCAGGAAATTACTCCTGGAAACCAACTTTGAACGCGGCATAACAAAAGGAGAGTTTTCAGGAGGCCAGAGCTCGGCTGTCTAGTTTCCGATCACATTGAAAACTTAGGAGAATATAAAAAAGAGCTACCGTAAAACCTGTAATAGAAGGGCTCCCTAAGTTTTAACTTTGAGCCAATTTACCTCGGTTCCTATCAAAGATTTGAAAAAGCTGTCAACTGATAAATTGTTTATCATAACATCAGAAGGGTTTTGTCAGTTGATCTCATTTTGATATCTTTTACGGAAACCGAGATATATGAACTCAAACTTGACAGTGTGGGGGCCCTTCTATGAAAGGTTTTACGGTAGATTACAAACTTTGCATTTACATAATTATTTGAAAATTCCTAGTTTTTCAGCCATTCGCCGATTTCTGAAAAACGCTTGTTTTTCACGGTTTCAGTACAAAAGCGGGCCAAAAAGGGTTGTCTTTCAATATCAGAAAATTGCTGAAAAACTAGGAATTTTCGAAAAATTCAGTGAATGCAAAGTTTTCAATCTAGGCCTGTTCTACACCCTCCAAAATTTTCAAATTGATCGGAAACTTGACAGCTGAGCTCCAGACTCCTGAAAATGGCCAAAAACCAACATAAAAATACGTTTTTGCATATTTTATGGACCGGTCATGTATGCCTGACATAGTGAGTCTTTTAAAAATTAGCTCCAATCTTCTAAAAATCGTACATTCCAAAAAAACTGCATCGAACGAAATTACACCTTATTACTAGTCGCAGAATGGGAATTTTATTTTTTTTTTTGAGCATTTTCAAAATTTTTGCCGGCGTTACCTATTTCACACCATGTGGTATACAATTCTTCCTTCCGTCTTCTTCCCTATCATAAATAATGGCTTCAGAGAGATGAAGAAGAAGAAAACCTCCGATAAGTGTCATTACTCTTTTTTTCGTGCTCACCAGTCTCCAGCAGCTGGCCTCTTCGTTTTAAAACAATTTTTAAAGAACTGCTAACTTTCCTCTTCAGATATATGCTCAAGTTTCTCGGGTTCCTATTTTTATTTCTTCTTTCTGAATGCATTTCAGACCATAATGCAGAAGAATACATTGAGTATGAAAAATCGCAGATGAGAGATTGTTATGGTGTGAGTCTCTGTATCATTTTTCAAAAACATTCAATAACATTTAGAACTACAAAAACTACAAAGAGCTTCTGGAAACCACGGACACCGAGGATCGAGACAAGCTGGAACTGATTTATCGATCTTGCTGGAATATCAGAGTGTGTTTAACGGCACATGGCTACATTGTGAAAGACTTTCTGGAACCAGTCAGGTGGTACTGTAGTCTAGTGAAATTTGTGCTCTATGAACAGTGCTATAAGGATTTACAAGCAAAAAACTCGATCTGTTTTAAAACTTGGCGACCGTTGATGTCCACAAAATTGACTGTGGATCTGAAAAGAAGCCAATCATGTAGAAACTCATTTGGAGAGAACTCGTGTATGAAAGAAGAGATCACTGCGGTTTGTGGAAGATATCAGTGGGAGACGTTTCGAGATGTAAGGGATACCGTAAAACCTATAACAGAAGAGACCCTTACTTTGAGTCAATTTATCTCGGTACCTGTCAAAGTTATGAAAATATTGTAGATTGAAATCTTTTTGTATTATTAGGGCAAACAATTTATCAGTTTATCACTTATTTGATATCTTGCACATGAGCTATCTCGCATATCACAGAAAAATCACCCCAAACTTGGCAGAGTCTGGGCTCTTTTATTACGGATTTGCAGTAGTTTCAGTGAGCTGTTATTAATTTTATTGCAGCATTACTCGGGTTTGGGCAACGGGACAGTAGCTTGGAAGGACTGTGAAAGGCTGGAGGTCATCAAAGACTTGCTGAAAAATCTGATAGACTGGAAAGATCAGCATGAAGATGATGATGCAGTTTTACCAGATGATGAGGAAGAACCCAAACCTTAAACAATTTCGATCGTGCTAAAATATAATTTAATTGAGCAATAAATCTGGTCACATATTTTCTTCTCCTATCCTTCAGGTCATTTAGTTCTTGGTTTCTTTCGAATCCAACCGAGCGATACTTCTTGAACTCGGAAACGCTTGACTCCTAACACGAGAGCAGTTGGTGTGTCTCAGAAAACTTTATTTATACCTTTCATTCGGTCTCCTCTCTCAAGAATCTAAGAAACTGAGATCATGAAAGTTTCTCTCGAATTCGTCTTACTAGGAGTTGCTATACTTGGAATTGGCTATGTAGCCAGCTTGCCAACGAATGCAACTGCTTTGGCTACAATTGAGCCTCCTAAAAACTGCACAGCCATGACATTTTTCAAAGCTGTCGGCTGTCTTTATGTGAGTTATTTTTTCTATTTATCTATATTTTTGATCACGGTACCTAACTACTGTCTATACAAAAAAAATCTGATCAACGGGCGGAGCAAACGCGACACTCCCCTTCACGAAACGGGTGAGAAAAGAAAAATGTGAAGCGTTGCAAAAAGGGGCGTGTCACTTTGCAACCTGCGGCGCGCCCACGTTTTATTGTACAGACAGTAACACCGTACCGAACCTAAGAACACCACCTGATATTTTAGCGTCTCGGGGAGTACATGGGAAAGATGTATTTCCTCAACATCAACAAACCGTCCAGCATTGAGTCGTTCCACAAATCCTGCATTTCCCTCCAAGAATGTATTCGTTCCATATCCTGTGAAGACGGTCAGTCGGAAGGGACCAAACTTGCGAACCAAATCGAATCGCACTGCGTAACTCTTCAGTACCTGTTCAAAGATTTCTCGCCTTGTTTCGAAAAATTCGATAAGAATAACAAGGATTCCAAGTGCGTCGAGTCGTGGGTACCATTTGTGGATTCAGAGAAGAACGCAACTCAAACAGAAATCTGCAACAACTTCTTCGGAGACAATAATTGCATGAAAAAGGAGGTGACTGATACTTGCAGCGAGACGGAATGGAAAGGATTGAGAGATGTGAGTGTGGAATGGTTAAACTACTTTAAATGACCAAAATTTGTTTCAGCACTTCATCAAAAGCACACCAGAAATTAAGGCCTGCGGGTTTGAGGATTTGTGATCAGGAGAAAAACTGACGTTGCTTCCCCCGAAATCGTTTTTATTCATTAAGTTTTTTTTTCACAAGATAACCAGTGTTTTAAACCACTCTTTTTTGTTTTATATTTATCATTCAATAAACCATATAGATCTGAAATAAAATACGTGATTTTTTTTTATTTTTTCCATCAACATGCTTGTCCTCGTCTACCATAGAACCACTTGTTCTTCCCAAGTGTTTTACAATGACAAATGCTGTTCCGTGCAGTTTAATTAGAGAGGATGGAGGAATAATAGATGGAAAACAGATCAAAAATCACAATTTTCTTTTGCTGATT